CAGTACTGATTAATCCAGAGGAATTAACGTGTGAGGTTACACAACAGAAAATTAAATTCATAAGTATGTATTTAGAGTGATGTACTGTGCAACTCATTATAATAGGCTCAGTTTTGCAAGTCAAAAGCAGATTAGACACTGGAATTCCAGAAGGTAATGCAGGTTCCAGTCAGTACTGTGCTACATTATGTAACCTTGGTTTCCCTGAAATACTATGCCTGAAAACTTCTGCTACAAAATGGATAATTGACTGTTCTCTCAACCCCCACCTGACTGAAAGAACAGGACCATAGCCTATCATTAGTAGACTGCCCTGTCTTCAAGACAAACTGTACTACAGAGGCAGCTCACTTAAAGAAGTGATGGTCTCACTGGGAGATAGAAAAATTCCTTTCCCCAGTACTGTTCAGTTGAAGCAGCCTCAAAGAGCCTTTAGCTAAATCTGTATGAGGTTCTAGGAAGACATTATAAGAATGACCATTCTGGGTCAGAACAATGGTCCATCTAGTCCAGTATCCTATCTTCCAACAGTGGTTGGTGCCACATGCTTCAGAGGGAATTAACAGAACAGGGTAATTATTGAGTGATCCATCCACTGTTGTCCAGTCCCAGCAAGGGGTTGCATCCCTGACCATCTTGGCTAATAGCCATTGATGGACCTATCCTCCATGAACTTTATCTAGTTCTTTTCTGAGCACAGTTATAATTTTGGCCTTCCCAACATCCCCTGGCAACAAGTTACACAGGTTGACTGTGTATATGTGTGTGAAGTACTTCCTTATGTTTGTTTTTTGCTATGCTGCCTATTAATTTCATTGGGTGACCTCTGCTTCATGTGTTATGTGAAGGGAATAAATAAAATTTCTTTATTCACATTCTCCACACCAGTCATGATTTTATGGACCTCTCTCATATTCCCCCTTAATAGAATCTTTTCTAAGATGAACAGTCCCAATCTTTTAATCTCTCTTCATTATGGAAGGTGTTCCATTACCTCTAATCATTTTTGTTGTCTTTCTTACTTTTTCCAATTCTAATGTATCCTTTTTGAGATGGGGCAAGCAGAACTGTATGCAGTAGTCCAGCTGTGGACGTACAATGGATATATAGATAGTGGCATTATGATATTTTCTGTTTTATTATCTATCCCTTTCCTAATGGTTCCTAAGATTCTGTCCGTTTTTTTAACTGCCACTGCATATTGAGCACATGTTTCCAGAGAACAATCCACAATGACTCCAAGATCTCTTTTTTGAGTGGTAATAGCTAATTTAGACCCCATCATTTTGTATGTATAGTTGGGATTATTTTTTTCCAGTGTGCATTACTTTGCACTTATCAACATAGAACTTCATTTGCTGTTTGGTTGCCCAATCACCCAGTTTTGTGAGATCCCTTTGTAACTCTTCATAGTTAGCTTTGGACTTAACTATCTTGAGTAATTTTGTATCATCTGAAAACTTTGCCACTTAACTGTTTATCCACTTTTCCATATCATTTATGAATATGTTGAACAGCACTGGTCCCAGTACAGATCCTTGGGGGATCCCACTATTTATCTCTTTCCCTCGTGAAAACTGTATTCCTACAGTTTTTTCCCCCCCATCTTTTAACCAGGTACTGATCCAGGAGAGATCCTTCCCTCTTATCCCATGACCGTTTACTTTGCATAATAGCCTTTGGTGTGGGACCTTGTCAAAGGTTTTCTGAAAGTCCAAGTACATTTGATCACCCTTGTCCACATGCTTGACATGCTTGACGCCATACTCAAAGAATTCTAATAGATTGGTGAGGCATGATTTCCCTTAATGTTCACTCTTTCCCAACATATCATGTTCATGTTCGTCTGATAATTCTGTTCTTTACTGTAGTTTCAAGCAATTTCCCTGGTACTGAAGTTAGGCTTACCAGCCTGTAATTGCCAGGATTACCTCTGGAACCTTTTAAAAAAAATTGGTGTTGCATTAGCTATCCTCCCAGTCATCTGGTAAAGAGTTTGATTTAAGCAATAGGTTACATACCACAGTAGTTAGTAGCTCTTCAATTTCATATTTGAGTCCCTTCAAAACTCTTGAGTAAATACCACCTGGTGACCTATTACTGTTCAATATATCAGTTTGTTCCAAAACCTCTTCTACTGACAACTCAATTTGGGACAGTTCCTCAGATTTGTCACCTAAAAAGAATGGCTACCTCACATCCTCTGCAGTGAACACCGATGCAAAGAATTCATTTAGCTCTACTGATTGTTTGGCATGCTTCCTGCTTCTGATGTAATTTAAAAAAAAATTGCTTAGTTTTTTTTAGATTCAAATCACCTAACCATTTATTAGTGTTTAACAAGTTAAGTATATGTGAAAGCACCTGTACAACCATTGTAAATAATATTTTTAAATGTGCTATTTGCAGATATAGGACATTGTTTGCCCTTTCCATTATTTATGTTGTGGGTGGTGACTGATTACAAGCCTGCAGTTCCTGGTTACTCCTCTGATAGTATTTGAATGGCTCCATTCTGTGCACAGGTATTATATATTAACAGAATAAAATAAAGATGGATACTTGCCCATCAATATTTGTCACACTAAAGTCTGAGTACTAATGTGATATTCCCCAAAGGAATTCTGGCCCTCAGTCTTCATAGTGGTACAAAGCAATAGCTTTTCATCAATGAGGGCAATTCATAGAATTGTAGGATTGGAAGGGACCTCGAGAGGTCTTCTAGTCCAGTCCCCTCGTGGCAGGACTAAGTATTATCTAGACCATACCTGACAGGTGTTTGTCTAACCTGCTCGTAAAAATCTCCAATGATGGAGATTCCACAACCTCCCTGGGCAATTTATTCCAGTACTTGACCATGCTGACAGTTACGAAGTTTTTCCTAATGTCCAACCTAATCTTCCCTTGCTGCAATTTAAGCACATTGCTTCTTGTCCTATCCTCAGAGTTTAAGGAAAATAATTTTTCTCCCTCCTCTTTGTAACAATCTTCTAAGTTCTTGAAAACTGTTATCATGTCACCTCACAGTCTTCTCTTCTCCGGAATAAACAATCAATTGTCCCTCATAGTCATGTTTTCTGGACCTTTAATCATTTTTGTTGCTCTTCTCCGGACTTTCTCCACTTTGTCCACATCGGTCCTGAAATGTGGCACCCAGAACTGGACACAATACTCCAGTTGAGGCCTAATCAGACAAGAATTACTTGTCGTGGCTTGCTTACACCACTCCTGCTAATAAATCCCAGAATGACGTTTGCTTTTATTGCAGCAGCAGCAGCAGCAGTGTTACACTGATTCATATTTAGCTTGTAATTCGCTATGATGCCCAGATCCCTTTCTGCAATACTCCTTCCTAGGCAGTCATTTCCCATTTTGTATGTGTGCAACTGATTGTTCCTTCCTACGTGGAGAACTTTGCATTTGTCCTTATTGAATTTCATCCTGTTTACTTCAGACCATTTCAAGATCATTTTGAATTTTAATCCTATCCTCCAAAGCACTTGCAACCCCTCAGAGCTTGTTTCATTCACTCTGAGACCAATTTTTCAGTTTTTCATTTTGGCCACTGAACCAAAAAATGAATTATTCACCCAGCCCTACTCACAACACAACTTGTGAGCCTCATCCTCTTTTCTCTACTAACCTTAACCTTCCACTTAGTTTAGAGTGACAGTTATGTGTGAGAAATTACCCCTCACAGTATGAACCTCTGCCTCTAATAGTAAAAAATAAAAAATAATAATAATAAAAAATCCTGTGCAGCCTACTAAAGTATCTTGAGACAGTAGATATCTCAGTGAAACTATGGAGAATGGTGTGGATTCTTCCACAATGACAAGAAATAATAGGGTCATAAAAAAGTGTGAATCTGTGATGCACATAAACTAGTTATTTTCTTAATTCAATATTTCTCAATAATTATGCTTATTAAAAGCAATGTGATAAAGTGGTCTGAGCACAAGACGCTTTACATAGGGAACTCCTGACTTCTAATGTCAATTGAACAGGTCTGGCAAGCAGTGATTAAGTGAGAGGTCACTGTCTCAAGAGTCTTGAAGTCAAACTGGTATAACTTGGTTTTTAACAACTCAGTCAATAGAAAACAAATTTCCCGCAGTCCAAGCATTAAAGTTAGGGTTAGTGTATGTACTGCTGTGGAAGGTGTCATCATTTATGTTGAGCATGGTGATTTTCATATCCCAGAAGCTGTTAAACTGATTTTTTTGTTCAAATGGGAGGTATAGTTCTTCTGAAACACTTACCTCTAACACATTTTGAAAAGTTCTCTTGCTTACAAATTCTCCTTTGAGAAGTGACAGAAGTGTAAAGTAGGTTAGAGATAATGCTTGCAGGAGGAGAGCTCTGCTTTCTGAGATTTTCTGGAGCTCATAAAAAGGGTGTGGTGGCAGAGTCTACCTGTGTGAAATAGGGGAGTAGTTGGTGGAGAGGGCATGAAGGAGATGGGAATGCTTTTATTCACCTGGAAAGCTTTAACCATTTTGCCTTTCCCTGTCCACCTCTATCACCTCCACACATACAACTCCTTTCATGCTCCCTCTATGCTCCTCTTCCTGTCTACTCTCCCCTTCCCCAAATACCAAAATGTCACTTTTCCTCAGCCAGCCAAACTAAGTGTGGGAATTTCTAGGCCAAACTATCTGGGAGATGACACACAAGATGTTAAATTTGTTGAATAAACTACAGCTAATTTATTTTTCCAAAGCCAATGTGTCACAGTTTAGATCAACTGCACCAGTATTTCCCCCTCCGTGATCCTGCCAGGGGACCCATTCTAAGATTTATGGCTCTCCAGCCATCATTTCTGCTCGGCAGAGATGTGCATCTCTCTCCCTCCGGACCAGGGTATTTCCAGGCTGCACAGTTCCCTGCCTACACTGTGAATTATCCAGCAAGTCAAACTGCTTAAGCCAGCCTGCTTAGCCTTCTCCTCAAAGGCTATAAACAATGTAATTGCCCACAATTAAGTTTGCACACTGCTCTGTCTAAGCAAGCATATTTATTTTTAAAGTAAAAACAATAGAAGAACCTACACACATGCTAATAAGCTTAGCAGAGGTTACCCCAACTCCACCAATGGGTCTGGCAGGTGAACAATCCTTCAGATCCCTCACAGAGGATTTTCTGTGGTTACAAATTTATAAGACCTTTTGCTCAGAAAAAGAACACTGATAGAAAGGTTTAGTCCCTCCTTTATACAGCTTGGACCTTTTGATCTGGGAATAGGTAATTCATAAAAAATGGCTTTCTTAGGGCAGAAGGTTGGGTCAAGAAGTTGAAATTGGCATTCCCTTCCTCTCAAGTATTTCCTTGGTATTCCACTCAATCAAATGTTTATTCTTGTCTGGCCCATTGTTTAAAATAGTCCTTTGATGCTCATAACACTTCCCAGGGTTTACATTAGTTATGTCTTCCCTGCTAAAAAAGCCACAATAATACGAAACTTTTGCCCTTTTAATACAATGAACTCCAAAGAAATCTTCTCTCACCTGGAGGTAGGAAATCAAAAGCAAGTCAAATCACTCAAAAAGTCAACAAAAGGTCAACACCTATGTTGGACGCTTTGCACAACTTTTTTTTATAGAGGCCCCTCTATCCCATTGTTGCATTTTGCAACTCCCAGTTCTCATCCCCAGACCTGACACAAACTTGAAGATTTTCTGGGTCTTGATTGTCCTTAAATGTTTTTGGGGATTGAAGGCAGAAGATATTGAAGCAATAAAAAAAATGTTACTAACTTATAATAAACTTACTTTGTCTTAGTAAAAATTGAGAATAAACTTGGATGAAGTTTCTTGTGGACCTATTTCCCTCTCTTCCGCACACTTTCATTAGACTATGTAAGTTTGTAGTTATGAAAATGTGATACTTTTTCTTTTGTGAATTACACTTTTAAACTTCCAAGAGTTCTTGTGTGCACAATTTAGCAACCATTTTTGTTCTCCAAATAGATACAGCCTGTTACAAGGAGACTCATACACTGTACTCTTATAACCCACTGGTGAGTGCCAGTACCTGGGGATTGAAGCAGGGACCCTACAGCGCTAAAAGCATTAACTGCTACAGCATGAACTAAAGAGTAACTGGGCCTTTAACAACTCTTATCCTCTGTGGATCAACACAGAGGGGAAACTTGTAACACATTCTTGTTCATTCTTGTTTTCTTTATTCTAAAATAAGTCATTTTAGGCTGTCAGTTCAAGGTTTGCTCTTTCTACATAGAAACAGATTCTGTCTGAAAAACAGAGGGTCAGATCCATAGCTGGTATAAATTGGTGTAGCTCCATGCAATGGAGCTTTGTATGGAGCTACGCTCCTTTGTATGGGCTGCACTGATTTACACTAGCTGAGGATCTGCCCCAGAGAGAGGAAGGGGAGGGACAGAGTACTATTGTGCTAAGGCCACTCACTTTAATGTGAGCCATGGTTGAAAGGTCCCAGAGGCAAATGCCCTAGTAGCAATTCCCACATGCCCAGCATCTACCTGCAAGAGAAAAACAGAAAGGAATGTTATAATGAATAGCATCCAGATGTTTAGAAATACTAGGCTAAATTATCTGCCCCCCAGAACAACCCTAAATCTCAGGCTTATTAGCAAGTGAGCACCTGCAACCACCTGTCCTTCCTGTTTCTTGTTCAACCAGTAAAATGCTTGTGGGGTCATTGCCACATGTGACACAAGTATTGGGGACCAGAGGGACCTGTTCCTTGATGAGCTCTGACCTGAATAATACTCATCTGAATTCTGGGAGGGGAAACTCAAGAATTAGGGAAAAAATGTTAGTGCAGCCAGAAGAGAGAGAGAGAGAACACAAAAGATAAAATGCCATACAGTCACATGAACCAACAACAAACAGACTTATCTCTTGCAGGTGGGGCAGTGTTCCTCATGAGAGATGCCAGAGATAAGAGATTTGCAGTGTTGCTGTAGACATGTTGGTCCCAGGATATTAGGGAGACAAGGTGGTGAGATAATATCTTGGATTGAACCAACTTCTGTTGGTGAAAAAGACAAGCTTTTAGAGCTTACAGAGAGCTCTTCTTCAGGTCTGGGAAAGGTACTCACAGGGATGGTGCAAGGAAGTTTCGATCCCTCAGCGAAACTTCCACCACGCGCCCCCCCCAGCCCTGCGGCAGCTCCCCGCCCTCCCCCCGCCCTGAGGCGCCCCCCCCCACGGCAGCTCCTCCCCCCTCCAGGGAGCTGTGCGGCAGCTCCCCACCCCAGCTCACCTCTGCTCCGCCTCCTCCCCAAGCACGCAGCCCCCACTCTAATTCTCGTCCCC